CTCTAAGTAACTCAGCAAGACCCTCCAAATAAAACAAAAAAAGTGTTGGGGATGTGAGTCAGTGGTTAAGCACCCCTGGGTTAAATCTTCAGTACCAGAAAGAAACAAAGAAAATCTTTAATAGACACTGATGTCCCAATCCTAATCTAGGGATTTAGATTTCACTTATTTATTTTAAGTTGTGTTTGGGAATTTTAAGAGCACACTAGGTGACTGTACTTTTCATCCAGGGCCAGGAACCACTGATTTAGGGATATGAAGGCATTAACTGTGTGGATTTGCCCTTTGCAGAAGCTCATCTTGGGAAGGTCTATGGAAATTAAAATTAAAGGTTTATGGTCCATTAAAATCAAGGTATAACTCCAAGACATGCTCAGGTGTTTGATTAAATAGTAGCTGGAGGAAATGTCTTCTCAGCAGGTCTATCTCAGGCCGCTTCCTTCGCCTTAAGAGGTTGCTTCAGGCACAGTATTGTTAATTAGTTCAAGTTTAAAAGTATAAAGTCTACCAGATGCCAAAAAGAAATTTTAAAAAATGCAAATATGTGAAGTGTAGTGAACACATTTTAAAAATTGATCCCATGATAAGAAATTTTAAAACATCATTGACCTTTCCTTTCCTAAACAAAGCTGTAAGCTATTTATCCATATTATTTCAGGTTTTGCAAAACAATTAAGTAAGAAGTACTAGAGTGATATGAACCTAAAGAAGTCCTGCATTTGTTGCAGAAATTTTCCTGTATTTCCTTGACATTCTGGAGAATCTTCATCATTAGTATGGTCTGCAAAGAATTTTGAATTTTTTAGTTAGGCCATAGTTATTCTGAGTTTTGGCCCAGACTCTCTTTTTAGTTACTAAATTTTTAGTTATAAAAATTTGTAAAGTTTTTATAATCTGGAAAGTCATAGGCTTCATATAAAAAAAGGCAAAAGGAGCTCCAGTTCTTCATGCTTCCCAGTATCCATGCCTTGGGTATTGTTCTAGTTGCAGGTGTGCCCATTGAGAGGCGAACTCTCCTTCTGAGCTTGATTCTAGGATGGCTCACGTACTTTGCCAGTACAGTGCAGTGGGTATGGCAGTGTGCCAGTTTTATTCCTAAGTGTAAAGTGTCTGGAATATTTTTGCCTTTCCTTTCCAAACCCCACCTACTCCATTAGACTTATGAAGGATAAGATGCCATGAGGAGGAGAATGAAAGTGCCTCAGGGGACAGCCAACTGTCCCCCAGAAGCAGATCCCCAAGTCAAAGAGCAGAACACAGGACTGAGGGAGCCCAGCTGAGTCTAGAAGAGCAGCCCCTGTAAACCCAGCCTAAGCTGAACTTCATCGTGATGTGACAGTTTCAATCATAAACTGTTAAGCTTGGGGTGGCTTCTTATGCCTGACACTATTCAGCAGCACCCATCACAGACAGAGTACCAGGAATGATGATTGCTGACTTCAGGTGCACTGAGGGGCAGCAGGCAAGCAGCAGGTACTGAGCTGGTGTTTGCTGTCTCCTTAGATGATTTTACTCCATAGGAATCCATGTGATATGGAAACTTGTCAACAGTGCTGAACTCACACAGTACTCCACACCCAAGGACGAAACAGAAACCATAACTGAAGATTAGGGTCAGGGCTAAAGTGCAAAATAAGAAGTGTGTCTCTAGTCTGTTCCCTTCACATCTGAACCCTGGTGTTCAAGGAGGGGACAGAGCTGAGGTCTACAGGGGATTCATTCCTTCTGGGTCCACATCATCCTTTATTCACTGCCTGATGTTTACAAGGGGGATGTGACACTCTGGGGATTTTCTTCTCTCAGGGCACCATCTCTTCCCCCCTTGGCCAAAGAATTGATATTGAGAGGGAAATCATGTCTCCTCACCTCTGACGGAAATGGGGGTTTCAGGTCATTCACTTCTCTTGGGTCTGGTCAGAGACCTCAGATCTGCACTTGCAATGTGGCAGCAGTTTGTCACCTGGGGATATGGCACCTGAATAGAGCTGGTTTTTGTTGAGAAGTCCTAGAAACTTAAAACAGAGCAAGATGTAAAGGTTTAGTGTCAAATATAGGTATAATTAATTGATAATTTTACCTTGACCACATTACAATGAAAATGTTTTGGATATGTTGGGTTAAAGAAATTATTACATACTATTTACTTCTATCTTTTCAATTAATATGTGACCACTAAAATTTCACAGTTATACATGTGGCTCGTATTTCTGTTTCATGGACAGTGCTGCTCTAGAAGGCTGCCTCCTTCTGCAGAGGTCAGACTGCCTCTTCAAATCATGAGAGGATGAGCAGAGTGTGGTGGCTCATGCCTGTAATCCCAGTTGCTTGGGTACAGCAGGAGGATCACAAGTTTGAGGTCAGCCTCAACAAGTTAGTGAGACCCTGTCTGAAAATAAATTTTAATAATAACTGGGAATACAGCTTAGTGACAAAGTGCCTCTGGCTTCAAACACACACACACACACACACACACACACACACACACACACAACCAAAACATGAAGTTAATAAAAATCTGCAAATTAAAACTAATTCTCACTATATTATTTACATCTGCAAATATATATTATTGATACTTTTATGTTATTGATATTTTTATTGATAAAACCTTGATGAACTTCACATGCCCTGTGCAAGATCAGCTATTCTTCAAGGTAGTTAGCACTGTGTAAAAAGGATTGTAGCCAAGAACCTGTCAATCTCCGTCTGCAGCCAGACTGACTGAATTTCTTCACCTGCCACTCAGGGCTAGAGGAATCTGGGTCTGGAGCTCTGTCTACACAGTGTTGATGGGATGAGAATTACAAATCAGATGCACAGACAGGTAACGGGGTGGATTCATAATGTGTAAGATTCTGTCTCTGGCCCAACCCAAGCTCTGAATCCATCTTCAGGTTCTCTGATATGTGGGTGGCTTTGTCACTCTGACCTTCAGGTGCTGGATGTTGCCTGGACACAGCAGAAGCCAGAAAATGGTGTACAGGGGGTTAGAGTTGGTTGGAAGCAGACAGAATTGGCTCTGGGTACCTGGGCTTTTCTAAGGCCAGGTATTAAGTGTGAATTCTATTTCAAAGCTGGGACATCTTAATATTGTGTTCTTTGTGACCTCATGGTAAGGCTGGACTGGCAGTCAGGTCCCTGGTGGTTTTGTCCTGTGCCTGATGTGAGATTATTATTATTTTTTTAACATGCACAACCACACCTAATTCATATGGAGATTTTTTTAGTGGCCTCCTTCTGCACAAACCAGCAGGGCCAAGAAGCATGTGCCTGCATGGAAGGGGGACTCCAGGGGGCCACTGTACCTGCTGATCTCTGTGTGCAAGGAAGGACTCCATTTAGAGCCATGTGCTTTTAGGCAAAACTCAGAGGTTTAGGTTGTACAAGGTGGGGGAGCTTGTGCTGGAGGCCTTGCCTCCTCTTCTCAGCTCTCCTGGCCTTGGGTGAAAGGGCCATGGGGGTCTGACCAGGGCTCTGAGGCCAGTCAGGTGGCTCCTGTTTATCTCTACATGGACATGAGCCCTGCTGCTGTTGGTGCAGCTGTAGTACAGTTTGGGTGGCCTATCACAAGGCAGCCAGCTCCTTGTCAGGGTAATTTTTCCTATTCAGGAGGGGATGAGCAACTTTTGAAAATAAAGTCTGAAATTATTAGTGAAGAAATAAAAGACAAAGTCAGAAAAATAATTTTAAGGACAGAGTGCCTGATAGGTCGAGCCTACACAGGAACTGGAGATGAACTATTAGAAAATGGCTGTGGTGATTTATTTAAGGGGGTATATCAAAGGCAGGGATATGGTTTCAGAGGTGGAGTCTTGCTTCATGATGTCTTGTGGTCAACAGGTTGATTGGCATTTTGGCAGGCTACACCCACCTCAGAGAGGCTGTGTGGCTACATAGGTCACCCCATTTCTGGTGCTTGTGGGACCTGGCAGAACTAATAGGACTCACATGTATCTGGGCAATCTTACCAGTGAGATTTCCACTGGAAGTTCCCAAATACCAGATTTTCCTATTTAATGGGCTTCCTTGCTGATTTGGTCACATAAAGTTCACGGATGGCGCTCATGGGTATCCCAGTTACCCTTTGTAGTCAGAATTTAGCTACTGGTTTTGTCCAGAGCCTGTGAAGCTGCAGCTTTCTCTCTTCTCTGGCCACCTGCTGTTATCCACAGCTGTGTTTTGCCTGACCGAAGTTGTTTATCCTGTTCTTCCTGTACATTTAGGGTTAGGGATACTGGCATAGGAAAAACTGCTCTGCACTGTGCTGAGTGTCCCCAGAGTACATGGGCTGTCCTCTCAATCTTAAACAGGAGACCATCCTTGTCCCCAAGTCACTTTCTAGTGGTTCTAAGACCCACTTCCATGTCCTTTTGGTTCTTTCCCTAGCCTGGGCAAAGGAGGTGGACATCATGACCTCTTCACTTTTCTAAACCTCAGCACATTTTCTGGGATTGTTATTTTGACAGAGGGTTGATTTTCCTGATCCACAGTGGCATGATCTGCAGTTGTCTGCAACTGGGCTAAGAAACAGTACTGGGCAAAGTTTTGTTTTCCAGTTTCTTGTTATCCCTGCCCACCAGAGACAGTGTCTTTTTACACCATCTGCTTAGTCTCAGGCCAGTCAGATGCCTCATGCGACTGCATGATTACCTGCACATGTAGAATTTCTTCCATTTACCTACCTCTGACAGACCGATTCCTATAGGAATATTATGAAATAATTCAGAAATTCATTCAGTGGCCTGATTGTTACAGTAAAACATTTTTTTTTTTTAGACAGATGTATACCTTTCTTGTGGCCTTCTCAGCCCAGATTATTCCCAAGAGTCTCTAGTTGGGATCAATGAAGCATTGCCTATGTCTTAGAGGGCCAGCAACATTCACTCAGAAACACAGAGACAACCAGAGTGGATGCCCCCAGTCAGGACCAACAGAAGGGAACCTTTAAAATAGGTCAGGTAGGGGGAAGTCTCTCAAGTCACCTGCTCCCATTTAACCAAATGTCTGACAGCATTGATGCCATAGATGTCCACAGAAAGAAGAACCAGGTGTTTCCCTGTAAGGGACTGGAGTGTGGAATCCAGGGTGTTCGTGTGCACACTGGAGGATCGTCACTGCATTCAGTTTCCTTTTCCCAGAGTAGGCCCATGGTGGAGTCCCACACCATTCAGGGAGAGCAAGAGGCCCCTGAAGCCAAGGGGCCTTGGCAGCTGCTGGGTAGTCCCCTCAGACTCTCCCTATACTTACTGGAACAGCTCCTCCAGGACAACCTGAGGCAATTCACCTGTCTCCTAATTCTCCAGGCTCAGCTGTCAGTGAGCTCATCAGCCAGCTTCCAACTCCTCAGTGTGGAAGTAGGGTTGCTCAGAGTGCCAGACCTGCCCAGGAGGGCTAGAGGAGGGCACTCTCGGTTTTCCTTATGGAGACTAAGTTTGATAGTGAAACCTTAGTCCTTTCCCCATTTCTGATCCAATAATGATTATAAGGTTTTGAGAAAAAGGAAAATAAAGTGTTATTGCTTTGCTACCAAAAGAGAGACACAGGGGACTCTTTTCCCAGAGACTGTGATTCCAATTGCCAGGTAAACAGAGGACCTTTAATGCAGTGGATCATAGACTACCCTCTAGCTGTGCCCTGCCAGGAGTCACAATTCCCTTGTAGCCTTGAGAAAGTTATTTCTTAGAACTTATTGTGCCAGCCTTGAAGTCTGGATTTCTCAGTTCCTGTGGTGCATGAGCTGAAGGACATTCACCTGGCTTAAGTCCTGACTTAAGACAAAAGTTTAATCTAAATTTTCCCATAATTTGGGAGGCAGAGAGGGAGAAGAGAAAGGAGAAAATAAGTGAGTTTTAAAATAAGCCACCATCATAGAGCAGCAACAATTATGTTTAAAGCATAGAGTGAACTCTCTTACATTCCCAGAGAGAAGCAAATCAAACACCTGGCAGGAGGGAGAGGTGGGGTTGATGAAGAATAGAAAACTCAGTTCCAGCTGGGTATTCTGGTGGATGCCAGCCAGCCAGGGACTCACTGAGGCAAAGTGGTTACAAGTGGAGGGTCAGCCCAGGGAACTTAGTGAAATCATGAAAGATCAAAATTATAGGAGGATTGCAGATGTGGCTCAGTTGTGTAGTACCCCTGGGTTAAGTCTTTAATACCACATAAAAAATTCAAATGTCATGGGGCTGGAGTTGTGGCTCAGTGATAGAGCACTCACCTAGCATGGGTGGGGCATTGGGTTTTCTCCTCAGCACCACATAAAGATAAATAAGTAAAGGTATTGTGTCCATCTACAACTAAAAAAAAAATAAAAATAAAAAAATTCAAATGTCAGATCAAAGAATCCTTTAACATGAAGCCAGCATGTACTTAAGAGGGTTCATGGAAAAGAGTGTGTTGCCTGAGGCTGAGGTGAGTCAGACTCCCTGGGGCTGTAGGAGGAGGGACTCTTAAGCCAATTTCAGTTAACAAATATTTCTTACCACTAACAGTGAACTGGTCAGTTAATTATGAATGTTGGGGTTGTTAAGACAGGACCATTAAACTCATAATGAGGATAATATTTATTTTCCAATTGGATGCCAGGGATTGAACCCAGGGGCTCTTAACCACTGAGACACTTCTCCTGTGCTTTTTAATATTTTACTTAGAGAGAAGGTCTCATACACTTGCTTAGGGCCTCTCTAAGTTGCTGAGCCTGGATTTGAATTCATAATCCTCCTTCCTCAGCCTCTGAAGCCACCAACTCTTGGCTCAGGAAGGGAGACTCTCTAGTAAGCTGTTGTAGAAGAAGGATGGGAGAATATTTTTACTCATCTCTTAGGATTACCTACCTGCCACATCTTCTTCTGGCTCTTTCTATGCTCTGTGCATCTTTTCTATTGCTTAACTTCCTGAGTTACGAGAAGCTGGTACACATAGTCAAGTGTTTTCCTTTATTCTGAGTAGTTATTTCAAATTATTGAACATGTTAGATAGTTGTAGTTTCCCTCATTTTATAGGATGTTGACAAGAGGTGTAGTAGATGATATCCTGAAGCTTGTAACTGGATTCCCAGTTAGATGAAATTCTTCAGGTTTGAGCCCCAAACTTATGATATTTCCACCAAAGAGTGTGAAATTGAATTATGGGATAATGCATTGTTAGGACATTGGTTGATGTTCTGCAAATTCATACCTTTGTTAAAAGTGGATGCACAAAAAAGACATTATTGGTCAGGACGGTAAGCTGACTCTAGCTATGTGGTCAGTGATGAGAACTGTGACCCTGGAAGAGGGAGCATTTGCACACTGTGAAATAGGGACATACAGTACACTTACACCTGTGACTCCGTGTCCAGAAAGAAGACACAGGGGTGGGGGGTTGGGCTTTGCCAGCTTTTGAAGGCCAGAGTGAAGCTGTGCCAAATTGCAGAGGTCCCCTGTGAGCAGCAAACTGGCTGAGAATGCTGCAGCCAAGATTCTGTCATTCTGACGCCACTCAGCCAGGGTTTGGATGCCCCTTCTGGCACTCTGTGCCTCTGTGGGCCTGATACTCTTCCCAATCGTGGACTCTGGGTGGGATCTGCTCAATCAGGCCTGCAGTCAGAAAGGAGGCGCTGTCCTTAGACAGGTGTATCTGTCCTGCCTCCAGAGCTCTTGTGAGGCCCAAGAGGCTTTCCTGGGGCCTGTATCACCCTTTGAACTGAAAGTCATGCAAGAATTCTAGGAAGGTGCTAGGATTCCTAGAATGCCAGAAAATGTAGAATCTTCTCAACTTGGTACTGTTGGAGGGACTGTGTCCTGCCTAAAATTAGCTCCCGATGCAGGTGATTTAAGCACTGCTGTGGCATTGTGGACCTTTGACTCCTCTGGACCATGGAATGAAAGACTAGCCAGCAGCTGGAACCTCTGGGCATTGTGTCCCCACAAGAGCCACCGTTGGGCATCTCTAGGTCTCCCCAGTTTGTGCAGAGTACACAAGCGTCGTCCTGGGAGAAGCCTCCTTGGTGGATGTGGTTCCTGTGTGGGAGGCACTGTCTTAACTGCAGACATCAGCTCTTCCTTTCTCCCCAGAGTTGTTCATTTTTTCTGATTCTTCCACAATGTGAGAGGCAGGACCTCAAAACTTAGACCTGGTTCTCTCTATAGCTGCTCTCAGGGCTGATAACAAATCCTTCATTTTTTAGTTTCTTTCACAGGTTCCAAAATATCAATTTTTCCTTTGCAGTTTGCAGTTATTAACAGTTTTTACCCATGCAGTATTTGAAGATGATCCAGTATTCTAATTGCCATATACTCCTAGCTAATGGATGATACCTTTGAAAATGTTTGTTTCCAGGAGGTTAATTTTTAACATGAGAGGACAGCAGAGAATAATCACCAGACTCTGCTTGACAGAATTTTTGTGCTGTAATGCGTTCTGTTGTCATATATAAAAAATTAATTTTTAAAAAAGTTTTGTGCCTTCCTCTTTTCTTAGGCACAGTCATATTTCCCCCATATCTTTGACAAGTATTCTGGTTTATAACAGGGTTGTCTCCAAAATCTCACCTGTTGAAACATGGTCCCCAAATGCAGAAAGGTGGAGAGATGGGCTTTTATGCTATGACTATATCATGGAGGCTCTGACTTCTTCTGTGGACCAGTCCACTAACAACTGATTGGACTACTGGGAAGAGAACTAGTTGGAGGACATAGATCACTGGGGTAGTTCTGAACAGAATCATCTTCTCCCAGCACCTTCCTCCTTCTCTGCTGCCTGGCTGCCATGAGCCGAACAGCTTTTCGCCATGTTCTTCTTCCCTGATGTTTTTGTCTTGGAGTGAGACTACCATGGCCTGAGTGCTGTGAAACTGTGAGCTGAAATAAATGTTTCCACTCCTAAGTTGTTATTTTAGCTATTTAGGTCACCAAAATGAAAAGCTCACTATAATGGAAATGTTAATAGGTGGCATGTCCTTATCCAGCGTCCTATTTTTTCACTAGTGCTGGATTTCAGAATTGCCTGGGGATGGCACTTGGTACCCAGGGGGTATTAGATTGTCTATAGATCTCTTAGATCATCTATAAAGCATCACCTCCTGGCCATCTCTTCCTAGATGACAGACTGAGGATTGTGGTGCAGCCTTGAGGGAAAAACTGGTTGTCCTAGAATAAATGAGAGAGGCGTCTCCTTTGTCCATTTTATCTACACCTGTAACTCCTTGGAACATGAGTATTTTCCCCATAACCTCCACTTTATGGAGATTTTTGGTGGCCTACAGATTGGATCATGGTGTTGAAGGGGAAATACAGAATTCATTCTCCTCTGTGTTTTCTCTGAATTATGAGTGTAAGGAAAACACCCCAAAGTTAAAGGAAAACCCTCACTCTTCAGGTGTACAGGAATCCATAATGTACCTTGTGAGTAAAAATAGGGATGAGAGAAGGTCCAAGCTGACATAAAAACTTGGGTCTGACTTGTCTGTTTTACAGTCAGCTCTGCTCTTCCCGGGCTTGTCATTTTGAAAAGCTGTCTTTACTTACTTCAGCTTCAACTTTTTTCCCTATCTGTAAAATGTGTTTATTTGTAGAGCTTCAAACATAAGCAAACATATGAAAAGTTACAGGATAGAGTTGGATTTTAAGAAAAGGAAGTCAGCATTATGTTACTTTGTTTAAATGTTTTATTGTCTTCTTTTCTGGAGTATCCTTTATACGTTTCTCATGTGCTCTGTGTTTTGGGAAGTGCTTTCAAATAGCATTAGTTTTGGAAATTTTACCAGAAATAATAAATAGGGAAAATCTCTCTTTCATTATGACTAAGAAAAAATAACTGCAGTTTTTCAAAATTGAGTGTTAGGTGCATAGATGAATTTCAGATTCACCAAGTCATTAGTTCCTTGTCCATGGAGGCCTGTGACAGTCAAAATGTCATAGATCTTGGGGCTGGGGCTGTAGCTCAGTGGCAGAGTGTTTGCCCAGCATATGTGAGGCACTGGTTTGATCCTCAGCCCATATAAAAATAAATTAATAAGCAAAGATATTGTGTCCCTCTACAATTTAAAAATATTTTTTAAAAACCATAGACCTTATTATCTGGATGTTCGAGTTTAATACAAAGTCATGTGAGATGAGGTTTGTCAAATCCTAGAATTATACACAGGATTTATGTTTTAGTAAATGATTTGTTATCATGGAGATAGCAACCAAATATCACATTTATTTTTTTGAAAAAAGATGGATGGTCTTGGTTTTCCTATTGTGACATGAATGTAAGTGCTTTACATATTTGTTGCCTCCTGTGGACATAACACTGAGTTTGGATGGGCATGGTGGGTGGTTTATGCCTGGGAAGGCAGCTACTCAGGAGGCTAATTGCACATTTGAGATCAGCCTTGGCAGATAAGAGAGACCATGTCTCAAAATAAAAAATAAAAAAATGTTATGATTGTTGGTTGTGGTAAATCTGTAATTAGTCTCTGGATTCAATCCTAACTACAAGACAAAATCCCACTGAGTATTAATACTTTTACCCATTAAGTTGTGAATATTCAACTTTAACTCCTTAAAATATATAAGCTCATATATGCCTCCTATGTTGGGGGCTTTGTTCTTACACTTTCTTCTGAGCCACGCTATGTATGCATGACCTGCAGACTTCAAAAGGTTTTCTTTTTGACAGATAAACAATGGAAAATCTTGGTCTCCTAGATTTGTTGATGGTTTTGGATCATTAGATTTGTTAAAACAGTGAGCCATGCTTTGTTTCCTTCCCATCTGAATGCTCTATCATCTACAAATGCACAAGTGTTAAAAAACATGCATTCATTGCCCCTAATATCTTAGTAAGTCCTAAAAAAACCCAGAATGATTACAAGAAACTGTAACTCTAGAATTCCAAAAAAAAAATCTACTGAAGTACACTATTATGACATTTTGTTTGATTTGCCCACTGAGGTCACAGCAGTGATGTGTCCTTTTATGTTTATTGACACTTCATATAAATATGTTCCATTACAGCTGTTTTCACCTTATTTGCTGGTATTAATACTGTCTGCCTAATTTTCCCTCTAAAGTTAATTTTTTCTCTTTGTCTTTAGGTATCTTGGTAGAATATTTCTAAATAATCTACATAAACCATCATATTTGAAACAGAAAATTCTTCTTTCTTAATATTTTTTTCACCTTACTTTGGGGAAAGCAGCCTCAGCCTTGTCACCAGAGACACTGGCTCTATTGTGGAGCTCCTGGAGAGACCACCACCCTGGTGGCTTTCATCTCATCCCCCTGCAGCTCACAGCTGTATACCTCATAACTTCCTTGAATTCTCAGTGAAAGGAACAAGATCTCATCTTTCCAGAGTCTGAAAATTATAAAGTGTACCTCAAAATAAAATTTCAATGATAGGGAAAATGTTACATACACAGGACTCAGTAACTATGGCTCTTATTTTATCACCTACCCTTAAGTGTGTAAATCTCAACAATGTCTTCTAAGATAATATGCATCCAAGTTGAAGTGTACGTTTTACAAAGTGGAATGACTTGTCTTTATTTCCATGAAAGTCTTCCTGGGTGAGCAGAGTTCCCCTCCAGAGTCCCCAGCTAATCAGAGTTCCTAACTGTGTAATTCCCTTGCCTTACAGAGTATCTTTTGGGAGCTTCTTTTCTTAGTGAATGAGTTTCAGATCCTTACTTTGAAGAAAAAGTTGACATTCCTTTGTGCATACATGGATCATAAATATCATTGATCAACCCGATCTTGTTTCTTCCTAATATGTTTCTATTAGTCTTCTCATTTACAATAAATGTTGTGTTCTTAAAATTTTTCTAGCATTCACATGTTATCTTGACTTTAATTTTTCCTCTCTTTTTGTATTAGAGGTCAAATAAAAGTGGGTAAAAATTAGGCTATACTATTTTTGGGTGTTTGACAAAATGTCATAAATATTGAACACCATTACTGCTATCATATTCTTTTGGTTTTCTCCATTAAGACATGAAAAACTCTTACAGTGAGAAGTATATATTTGAAACGGTCAAGAAGGATTGTTGTTGATCATTGGTATTTTAATAAAAATACATAAGTCACTTAGAATACTTGAACTTAAATTCATCAATGATGTTTTCCCTAGAGTTGTCTACCTCATTGCTATTCAAGAATTCTCTTGGCGTGCTGGGATTGTGGCTCAGTGGTAGAGTGCTCACCTCACATTCATGAGGCACTGGGTTTGATCCTCAGCACCACATAAAAATAAAATAAAGATATTGTGTCCCCACAACTAAAAAATATATACTAAAAAAAAAAAAAGAAGAAGAATTATCTTGGCCCACTGGCCCTAGTTTCAGTAGATTGGGATTATTGCTATATAGTCAGAAAACCAGTTCCATCCCAGAACTACTGAACCTGAGTCTGAATCTCTGATTCATGGTTGTGCATTACAAATTTGAGAATCACTCTTTTTACTTACCATGATTTTCTTATCTGAGAAATATACAATTTATCTTATGGTATATAAAATTGCATTTAAAATGTATATTCTTGTGTTGATGACATAATCTTACCTTTTATTTCACAAAAGTGGAGTATATACACTTTTTTTGACTTATGATACTCTTTCCTCAGAGTTAGAGAATATCACTGTGTTACCAAGTATTTTCTTGAATAATTAAAGTCACTTACCAACTTGAGAACCAGTTCTACTAACTCTCATTTTATTTTCAGTCAACTTACAAGCTATGTGAATGATCAAATGGTCAACGTGCTGTTAATTTATCTATTCTTATTTCAGGAACTGTTGACATTCAGGGATGTGGCCATTGATTTCTCTGAAGAGGAATGGGAATGCCTAGAATCTGCTCAGAGGACTTTATACAGAGATGTGATGCTAGAGACCTACAGAAACCTGGTCTTCCTGGGTGAGCAGAGCTTCCCTTCAGAATTCCTAATTATATAGTTTTCTTCCTTTGCAGAATATCTTTTGGGAGCTTCTGTTCTTAATGAATAAGTTTCAGATTCTGTCATTCAAGAAAAAGGCTCAGGCTGTTTTCGTTACAGAGAAGAAAATATTAATGCCATTGTTTTTAGTCCTTATTATTGCCTTTTCTTGAGGTGATATATACCCTTCAGGTTTACAGTAATTCAGTGATATGGAATGATGTGAGCTACACATCAAAGTCCAATTTCTCCCCTTTATGGTACCAAAATAGAATATCTGTTTTCACAGGGAGAATCCCAACAAATAGACATTACATTTTCCAATGAACACATTTCATTGTATCTAAGCCATGTTTGGGCACCTTCCTATGGAGCAGAGGTGGGTAAAAATTCATGAAGCAGAGGACACAGTTGAGAGGTCCAAAGGTCATGGAGGTAGCCAAACTTCCAAATGTTGGGGGAGAAGTCATGCCACATAAATGGTTTTCCAGAAGCTTAGGTTTGTTTCTCTTGCTATCCTACAAGGACAGGTTCTGCCCTATGTTTAGCATGCTTTCGACTTCTTTAGTCTCTTCCTCCTGTGGGGATGCCCCAATATATTGAAATAAGCAGCCCAAACACTCCCCTTCGCTTGTGAGGGTCAGCGTGATCCGACAGCATTTTCTTTATTTGGGGCATCTCTCAGAAATCTGGATACCTCTAGGTGAGGCATTGTAATTTATTAGTTTCATAAAGCAGTTTCTCTAATATCACATATATATTTATTCATTGAAATTTTCCTATCAGATTTTATTATAAATACTTACAATGAATATTTTGTGGAATTTTTTTCTGACATAAAATGAATGTCAGTGATTCACAGTGGCTGCTCATTTTGGGTATATGGTCAAGGTGAATTTTGTAGTTATATAAAAGGTTTGTAAAATAATACAACCATGGTTATTCAGAATTTTGTTGGCTAAATTTTCCTTTTCTTTCTTATTTTCTGTGTTTCATTTTCCAGGGTAAGTTTCACATTGTAGTATAGCTTTTTCCTCACATCAGTTAATGATGTTTTTATTTTTTTAACCTACATTTTATGATTCAATGGCAATTTATAATATTTCACAAATTAGGGCAATGTAAGATGAAGTTAAGATAAGCCTTATCCTTGCTTCCATTGCCAATAAATTATATTTGCCTCTATATTTTTATTTTTTGCTTTTATTGTCAATAAAATCATATTTGAGATAAAATGTACCTCATAAATTTTTCTTTTAAAGCATGTTTGGCATATGAAAATTATTGCCACTCCAGTTTCTGGTCATTCTTACATATTTTTGTCTTCACCTTGCGTCCTTAGATTTTTAATCTCCTGTGGACTGCATATATTATTTTTTATTTTTGTAAGTTTCCTTTGCTTCTTTTCTGTTTCTTCCTTTTCTTCTGACTTTAACTTGTGGTTCACTCATTTTTATGGTGTCATTCTTTTGATTCCTCTTTCACTTTCCTTCATTCTATGAACATTTTAAAATTTATTTTGGCATTTATAAAATCATTTTAAGCTTACATTACATTTTAAACTGGCAACAAGGTCGTTACTGTTGTGCGCTTGGGGTAGTTGGAGGTGGGGCCCTTGGCTGTGAGGCACAGAATCCTGGTTCCCAGGCCGCCACACCCACCATCTCCATGCCATCTGCCTGACCAGCCCAGCGGTGGTTTGCATGAAGTGCTTGGGCAAGTGCTTAGAGATTGCTTGCTACAAGAACAAGCTTGCTTGTGTGTTCACATGGTACTTTCTCACCTGCCCTCCTCAGGGAAACAGACCTAGATGATGTTCTGCAAACCCACCCTGTGTTTGTAATTGTTTGTTAAGGTCAGGTTGCAAAGGAGGAGGATCTCATCAGTCCACGTGGAACAGATGCCCAACCTGAAATCTGTAAGCAGATTTTGACTAAAGGAGAGGTTCAGGTATCAGATAAAGAAGGCACCATACAGCTGCAGCAGATGTTCAGGGATATTTCAACCATTGTGGCGGACAGGTGTGTCAACCCAGAAACAAAAGACCATACACCGTTGTCCTTGTTGGGAGAGCCATGAAGGACATCCACTATTCAGTCAAACCCAACAAGAGTACAACACATCGGGCTTTGGAAGGGATAAGGCAGCTGAAGGAGAAAACGAAGATGGAAGGTGGTCACATGAGGCCTGGGTTCTTTCCTCCAGTGAATGAAGGGAAGAAGCTGAAGGAGAGTGCAGGCCCTTGGTCAAGGTTATAGAAAGTGAAAACTACAGCCAGCAGCTAGAAATTGTGTGTAGGGCTGACCAAGGCTGCTTCCGAGAAATTGCTAATAAAAAAGGAAACAAAAGGCAAAGGTGCGTTGGAAGTACTCAGTTTGAGAGAGGAGAAATTTGAATGACACTCATCAGTCTCTTTGGCTATTAAAAACAAACAAACAAACACAAAACCACTAAACCAAATGTTTTTCTTTCTGATGACACTGTTTAATTTCAGTGATTTGCAAAAAAAAAAATAAAAAAAAAAAAATAAAAAAAAGGCATAATTTGACATTTTCTGACTTACACATAGAAAGACTTCCTACATGAGTATAATGTGGGAATGATTTTGTTTTAATTTTAAATTGGTGTTCTAAACAAAAACAAAAACTCAAAAGAATGAAGTCCAGAGGGTCATTTTGCTGCTGTCTTATACCTTTATAACTTTCCAAAATGAAAGCTACTTGAGACAACTCTTCTGGCTAAAAAGTTAAGTTTTGTACATTGTATAGGTAAGATTATTTGGGGAATGTCATTATGAAAAAAAGGAGTGTTTACCTGTCTTGTTTCTCTGTGATTCAGTGTGTGGGGAACTATATTGTCAGTCAAGCTGGGATGATTTATTTCTAATTCTTAAAGTTACAATATATATCAGTATAGCTAAAATTATATGTAATCAGTAAAACTACTATTTATATTAAAAAACAAAAAAGCAAACTGACAATAAATTTTCTTCAATTTCATAACAAAAGTCAGAATATTTATTTATCCTTTGAACATTATGTTATTAATGGCAGTTTTATTTATACTGCATACCCATTAAAAGGTTTATGATAACTTTTATGTTTTTTTCTTTCAAATTCTGTTGAAAAAAGTGTGTGCTTTATGCCCAATCATTCCAGTAAAATTGAATTCTATATTGCTATATGGGTTTTCCTTGCCAGGAGAACTTTAAAATTTCATAAAAGTTCTATTGCTGTGCACATATATTTCATTTTTCAATATTAGGGGTGCACTTTACTATATTTTGAAGGACAGGTCAGTAGCTATGAAGTTTGGATAAATTTATATATTTTTAAAGTCTTTGTTTTCTTATTTTTTGAAGGTTAGTATTTTGGGTTGCAGTGTTCTTATTTGGTAATTCTGTTTTTGATGTTTTGGACACTATTACCCAGTTCCTTTTTGAGTTGAAAGGCTTCAACTAAGAAATTGACTTATAATCATATTCAAGTGCCTTTCTCAGTGGCACATCTTTTTCTTTTGGTGTTCTCAAGATTCTCTCTTTGTGAATATTGAAAAATTGAGTAAAATGTGCTTTGAGTCTTTGTGTGTGTGTGTGTGTGTGTGTGTGTTTCCTACTTGGGAGATAATGAGCTTCTTGAATTTTGTTATCCTATTTATTGCTCATTTCACCACATCTCCGACTTTTTATCACCACTGGAGACTTTCTTTTCCCCTGCCCTTTTTCTTAGGCCTTTTTGCTTTTTGTTTTTCATATCTCCCTTAGTCGCTGGGGCTGGCCTCAAACTCGGGATCCTCCTGGCTCAGACTCCCAAGTGGCTAGGATTATAGCTTTGCACAACCACCCCTGACTGAACACTATTACTTAATACTTTCTGCAAGTACATAACTTTTGCTTATTTCTACTAATGATTTTGGTCTGTGTTTTATTCAACATTCTGTGTTCTGGTATAATTCACTAAATTTATTTCAAATGGTTATTTAGCTTCTTTGGGTAATTCACAACTCTTACTTTCCTGATGTTCAATGCCTAGTGTTTTATTTGATTCTTGGATTAAGTCAAGTGCCCCCTTTTCTTTGTGTACTTATTATATTTTATTCGTCCATTTAAAAAAGAGTCTCTAGTAGATTAATTTTCATTTTGTAAAACAATAGGAAATTAGTAAAGAATTGAGAAATAGGCAAGCACGGTTCTGCATTCTGGTAACTTCAGGTAATTTGGACAATGTTCAAGAGAATTTTATGTTTGAGATGTGTTACACCATGTCTCAAACCATTTTAAAAGGGCTTATTTTATAAATCAGTGGTATAACAACTTTGGGCTTAATCTTAAGCATCACACATAAAAAATTAAAAGTAGAATGACCCTGTGATCCAGAAATGCACATTTTAAAGAAGTATCCAAGGGATATTAAACAAGCACATGGAAGAGATATCTCCACTACCATTTCATTGGAAGCATTGTTCACAGTAGTCAAGACAAGGACTCAAAGTTTTTGCCTATCAGTGATCGAGTGAGTAAACGATATGATATTTCTAATCAACAAAGTAACAATAGAAAAGAGATATCCTGACACTTAAAGTGACATGAGATGAATATGTAGAACTGGGCATTATGTGAAATAGACACAGTAATTTGCAGCCTCATTTGACTCAATGTGAACTTAGAGGTGCAGAGAATATAAAGTTTACCTGCTATTGTGCTTTGGGGAGTGTTGTTCAGTCTGCAAAATATTATTGTAATGGACATAAAGTTATGAGATCCATTGTTCTCATGGTGAGTGTAATGTATTATATCTTTGTTTTTGCAGAGGGGTACCCAGTATTGAAACTAGAAGCACTGAAAAACTGAAAAACATCCCCAGTTCTTTTTTTATTTTTTATTTTGAGACAGGGTCTTGCTAAGTTACTTATGGTCTTGCTAAGTTACTTATGGTCTCGCTAAGTTGCTGAGATGGTTTTGAATTTGGAATCCTCCTGTCTCAGCCTTCCAACGTGTGGGGATTCCAGGCTTGTCCCACTGCACTGGCTAATGTATTATATTCTTGGTGAATGCTAATAGAAATGAATGCAATGTTTTCTTAGCACTGATAATATAATGTGATAATTATATAAAATAATGCATTTATTAATTAGCTAGACTTAGTCATTTCTCCACTTATTTAAATTTTAAAATACCATGATATGGGCTGGGGATGTGGCTCAAGTGGTAGCGTGCTCGCCTGGCATGCGTGCGGTCCGGGTTCGATCCTCAGCACCACATACAAACAAAGATGTTGTGTCCACCGAAAACTAAAAAATAAATATTAAAAATTCTTTAAAAAAAATACCATGATATACTTAGTAAATACATACAATTGATTTTGCCAATTAAATGATTCAGTAAATAACCAAAATTATAAAAATGAAAGACAAGTCATTTGTATTGACTGCCATGTGTTTAACTTTGTTCTGGTAATACTGATATAGGCTGTGTGGGTGGGTGCATGCATGGATGTGTATATTTTTTCCATTAAAAAGATTTATCCATATTTCTCCATATGGACCCTATGCTCTTTAGCCCTATTGAATATCTGTGTTATTGTCATCCAAAGTCCATCTCTTATATCCGGGTCTTTGTCGTGGTAGACAGAAAATGATTTTCAGACAGTCTCTAAAAAAGCCAGAAATGTTCATGTTTCACATTTCCCTTTTTTTTATTGAGAAATGAAGGGAGTTGGTAGATTTTCCCCAATTGTACGATAATGTATTCTGGAGTAGGAAGGCCTGTAGTGGATAAAAGTAACATGCATTCCTTTTCTATGGTATATATATGGTCCTTAATTATATGCTCATCTTGAATACTGTAAATTCTCAGATGTTTTTGTTAATTCTCACAAAGTAATTTTGTCTGTCCGTTATTCTTTCACTCACATATATTTGGAGTAAGGATGGCTTTCAGTGTACTCGTCTGCCACCCTGCTGATGTCCCAACTGCAATGACTTCATGTTATATTTACAAAGTTTATTCCCAATGCAATATGTAAAATAATTATCATTTTTATTTATTTCAGCCATGACCTCTCATCATACCCAGAAAATTTCACCAGAGCCTGGCATAGAAAATTTATTTAAAAAAGTGATACAGAGAAGATGTGGAAATTGTGACCTTGACTTTTTACAACAAAAGAAAGTATGGGACATTGCAGGTGAGAATGAAGGTCAGAAATCATACTATAAAGAACAAGACCAATTAGTAGTGACTGTCCATAATGAAAATTCTACTGTCAACAGAACTCAAGAACATTTAATAGCTCAAGAAAGTATTCAATTTATAACTAAAGGCCAAGTTTCTAAAAGTGATCACTTAGAAAATTTCATTGGAAACCATCCATTACTCTGCAATGAACAAAGAATGTCTTCTTGTGCCCAGACATACATCTATAAGGATTGTGGAGAGGCCCCTGTTTACTCATTACTGCTTAATCTAAATTCAGATATAAATTTCAGGAAAGTGTGCAACACACATAATGAAACAAACAACACCTTTAGTCAGGTCTCTACTGTAAGCAATTACCAATGTGCTTCTGTTAAAGAAAACAATTGTGAATGTAGCAAAACACAGAAGAACTCTGGCTCTGGTTGCAATATGAGAGAACATCAGCTTGGTCATTGTGCACAGAACCCTTACAGAGATGATGAATGTGGGAATGTCTTTCCTCAGTGCTCAAAGCTGATGAGCCATCCAAGTACTCAGGGCCAAGAGGCGCCTTGCAAATGTGAGGAATGTGAGAGAGCTTCTAACCCAGCTGCTAGCCTTCCTCAATACAGTGGAGCACATCCTGGAAGGGAGCCCCCCAAATTTAAGGAGTGTGTCCAAGCAAGGAGTTGCTCACCCCTTTCTAAACACCACAGGTACCATAGCAGTGACCAACACTACAAATTTAAAGAATGTGGCACAACTTTTAGTCAAGAACCATCCCCTGGTAAGCACCATAGAATTCATACTGGAGAGAAACCCTACAAATGTGAAGAATGTGGCAAATCCTTTAAAAATTGTTCAAACTTTTCTAAACACCTCAGATGCCATAGCAATGAGGAAACCTACAAATGTAAAGAATGTGGAAAAGTTTTTAAGAAGTTTTCAACTCTCACTCAACACAAAAGAATTCATACAGGAGAGAAGCCCCACAAGTGTGAAGAATGTGGCAAAGTTCTTACTCGAAGAGCATACCTTACACAACACCAGAGAATTCACACAGGAGAGAAGCCCTACAAGTGTGAAACATGTGGCAAAGCTTTTAATCAAAGATCACACCTTACTCAACACCAGAGACTTCATACTGGAAAGCATCCCTACAAATGTGAAGAATGTGGGAAAGGTTTTAATCAAACCTCAGACCTTACTGAACACCAGAGGATTCATACAGGAGAGAAGCCCTACAAATGTGAAGAATGTGGGAAATGTTTTACTCGAAGAGGTTACCTTCCTCAGCACCAGAGATTTCATAGTAAAGAGAAGCCCTACAAATGTGAAAAATGTGGCAAAGGTTTTAGTCAAAGAGCTTGCCTTACTCAACACCAGAGAATTCATACAGGAGAGAAGCCCTACAAATGTGAAGAATGTGGGAAAGGTTTTAATCAAAGCTCAAACCTTACAAAACACCAGAGAATTCATACAGGAGAGAAACCCTACAAATGTGAAGAATGTGGCAAAGGTTTTACTCGAAGAGCATGCCTTACTCAACACCAGAGAATTCATACCGGAAAGCATCCCTACAAATGTGAAGAATGTGGGAAAGGTTTTAATCTAACCTCAGACCTTACCCAACACCAGAGAATTCATACAGGGGAGAAGCCCTACAAATGTGAAGAATGTGGCAAATGTTTTACTCGAAGAGGTTACCTTCCTCAGCACCAGAGATTTCATACTAAAGAGAAGCCCTACAAATGTGAACAATGTGGGAAAGGCTTTAATCAAACCTCAGACCTTACTAAACACCAGAGAATTCATACAGGAGAGAAACCCTACAAATGTGAAGAATGTGGGAAGTGTTTTACTCAAACACAAAATCTTACTGAACACCAGAGAATTCATACAGGGGAGAAGCCCTACAAATGTGAACAGTGTTGGAAAGGTTTTACTCGAAGAACACATCTTACTCGACACCAGAGAATTCATAATGGAGAGAAGCCCTACAAATATAAGGAATCTAACAAAGCTTTTAAGGATCCTTTGTCCTTTACTAAACACCAGAGTGTTCATGCAGGAGAGAATGGAAGTCCCAACCATAGCACCCCAGAGCACCTGCTGGCTTTCCTGCACATGCTACAAGTGCCCAGAGCCCTGGATTGCCACGCATTTCAGTAGCAACTAACCCCACACCAGCCACCTTCCCATGTGGGCAGTTTTGCAGGGCTGCTGACCCACAGGGAGGGAAGATTTTTTTTTCCTTTCTTTCTTTCTTGGTGAGGACATTTGATTTTATTTCTTTCTGTCCATCTAAATTTCTTTCTGTCAGCATTGCTGCCTTCCTTTTTTCCATGTTTCCCTCCCTCCCATCACTTTCCCTCTTCTACCGTCTTGTCTTTATATTTTTTCTTCTCTTAAATGTAAGTCCTCTGTGGATGAATGTAAAAATCATTCATCTCCCTAGCCGTCCTCCTGCAAGATTCCATATGCCCCTGATGAGTGTGTTCCTGTCACCTTCCTGCTCATTTATTATCTGCACTGAGTTTGTACACCAGGTTGAGAGTTTATCTCTATCTCCTGCTTCCCTCTTGAAGTAGGAAAAAAGGCTGACTTCAAGAGGCTGCTAAATATAATATTTCCTGTTTGTACTTTGTGTGTGTGTGTGTGTGTGTGTGTGTGTGTGTGTGTTTGTGGCCAGGCCCAATCTCACAATCTCTGAATTAAATAGGGTAAAAGGTAGAATTGCCCATGGCACAAAGATTCTTTTTTTTATTTTCTAGCACTTCTTTGCTGCCTGAGGGACTTTCTGCAGATATACCTTCCTTGTGTCCAGGAAAAGCTGAGCAACAGTGTAACCTGATACAACTCCCAGCTGAGCCTAGGAACCTTTCCTCAACACATGAGCCGAAACACATAAACTACAGTCACCAGAAAGAGAACAGTATTGCCTTATTTTCATGATTCCCAGTTTTACTAATAATGCTGATTAGTTGCCAAAGAAAATCATTCCTTAGGCCTTAAGCCTTGCAGAATAATTCCTTTAGGACAAGGTACTGCCACTCCCTGACAGACCTCCAATAGGATACAGAGCCATCCCAAACCCGACATTAAACTTGGATAATTGGAATGTGGACTGTGTTTCCCTCTGAGTCAATAAAACACATGAAGAGGGCTGGGGATGGAGCTCAGGGGCAGAGTGCCTGTGGGTTTAAGGCCTAGCATTATAAACAAGACCAGTCACCTTCCTTCATACTGGAAGGAAGAAAAGGAGAAGAGTGGAAAATGCATTCTAGGACTTGACATAACACTCCCAGACATAAAATAGTGTGAGACCTAAGCTGGCACTGAATTAAACATTAAAAGCGACCTTGACTCTGTGTGTCTTGATGGCTCACCTGTAGAAATAAAACAAATTCCCAACCAGGTCTAACTCCCAGGCCTTTACAAAGGGCGCAGAGGAGATTTCTGTCCCCACTGAATTTGCAGCCCCTGCAATGAGGCCTTTAGAAGAAGGAGCTCAGGAGGGGAGAGAAACACCCACTGGCAGCATGGGCTTTGCACCCTTGGAACTGGGGTGGACAGCAGTGTTTGCTCTCCAGAGGAGATGGAATGACTGGCCTTTGTCACTCCCACCCTCCCTGAGACAATGATTGCAGAACACTCACAGCTGGTGAAGAAACCCAGGGTGCTCTGGAGAATGGTGGTGTACTATGGAGAATTAGATAAAGTGTTGCCTTCTCTGCCTGTAGCACTTCTCACTGTGCAGGAATTGGACAGGCGTAGCCCAGACACCTCCCCAGCAATGTGGGGACATACTTCGGAAAAGGAGGGCTTTGCACACTAGTTTCTTATCCCATGTGCTCCAGGAAAATGTAAGGCTGGTGCAGTATGCACCTGAGGAGGCAGCAGGAACTTCTGATGAGCTGACAGAGCCATCATCCCTCAGGGAAGGAGCAGCCCCAGTGGGTGACAGTTCTTGGTACACTGACTGGTTCAGCAGAGGCCGTGGGACCAGTGGACTCCCATTGCTACACAGCCCTCCATGGACACCTTAGGATGTGTTGGAGGCATAGGGCAGAGCAGCCAGTCGGCTGTTCCATGCCTTATGTGCTAGAAATAGTGGGGTCCTGGGTGCCCCAGGAGACCAAAAAAACACTCTAATCAAGTCTGTCACCAGGGCAAGAATTTTACTTCCATGCACATAATTTTTATTTTTATATGTCCATTCCTTTTAAGGTTTTTTTTTTTTTTTGCGAGGGGAAGGAAAATGATGATTTAAAAGGTTAACAAGATTCGTTTGACTGGAACTGGACTGTTCCTGACTTAATTTCTGGGAGACCCAGAGGCAGGTCTCCTCTCCCTGGAGGCCTCAATGCTGAGTGACCTCCAGGGAGCCAGAAGGTGTCTCCCTGGCCTGCCCATCGGCTCATTTGAGGATCAGATGCTCCTTGGAGACTACAATGGACACTAGGCTTGATGGTCATCAAGTGGCGTCACTGTGGTGCCTTGAGGCCACATAGTCGCAGCATAGACCTCTTCAACAGTCATTTTAATCAGGAGGGAGGATGGCCAAATTCAGGGTGGCCAAGCAGAAGAGATCCTCGGGGAAGCTGTATATGAGCAGAGAGATGAGGCGCTGTGCTTACCAGGCTGGATTAGGGTGATATTTAATAATGAAAAGTGACAGCATTGGGAAGGGGAGGGGCAATGGAGATGGCTGGCTGAATTCTGTGTGAGGACCCCGCCTGTGCATTGGGGGCCTGACCTGCCCGCTAGGCTCGGCATGGGCCCACAGTGAGCTGCACCAGCCAGGGACCCTGCTGTTCAATCAGGAGCTCGTCCCTCACCTCTCGGCGCCATCATGAAGCCACAGGGAACTAGACACGGATTTGGACTTGAACAGTAAGAGTAGAAGCCGACCAAGAGATCAGCAAACAGAGTTCTTGTCTTTTCCCAGCTACCGGGGCCACCGCGAGAGACTGGCCACTCGCACGGCAGGCCCAGGAGCTGCGGGGCAACCTCGTGGGGAGCCAGGGCAGGAGGCTTCCTGATGCAGAAAAGCCTGCTCTGGACCCGGGGCATCGTGGCAGAGATCCCAGGAAGACAGGAGAGCGGGGAAGCAGGGCAAGTGCCCTTCCAGACGCCCACCTGCCCCGTGGGAGCAGTGTCCTTGCACTGTCACGGAGACAGAGGGAGGATTTCACCAAGAAGGTGACCCGCTGCAGGGTTGGGCGTGGATGGGACAGTGGGCTCTAGAGGTTCCACCGAGGCCTGGGCGGGGGCAGCGGGTCAGGCCAGCCCTGCAGCCCAGCCCATGCTCTCGGAGCCAAACACAGGGCTGGGGAGCAGCTCAGAGGTGAGGCCCCCGGGTCAACCCACGCCGGAGGGGGCGGCAGGAAGATTGCCAGACCCTCTCCTGCCATTGGGGCGGCAGTGACTAAAGAATGAACAGCAATAAGACCAGCTCTGAGGAGGGGGCAGAATGTGGGCGTTTGAAAACACAGAAATGCAGGTAAATTAAAAACTAAAACAACTCTCATGGCTGCCTCTGGGGAGTCGAGGAGGGGAGGAAACAGGAAAGAAGGGAAGCAGATCAATGATTTTTTTAATGCACTTTTAGCCATCATCAGAGTTTAAAAACTATATGCATATGTTACTTTGATTAAGAACAAATTTAAAATTTCTGAATAATGTGAATATCACTTTTAACATTTATATAAGATCATATCAAGAATACATGATTAAGACCACCTCGGTTTCTTGGCTAGTCCCTTGTGATATTTGTTTCATTTAACCATCTCATATCCTCATAAGCTCCTAAAATGCAGAGACTGTTCTACCTCGAATGTGGTTTATTACTAACATTATAACATGAAATATAATGTTAATACAATTTAAAAAATCACACTTGGAGAAGAACACACAGTAAAAGTGCTTGTTGCTCTCAGAGCGCCCAGCAGAAGGGGACAGTGTACACAGACGCCCACACAAAGTCACTTGAAAGAGCCTGGCCAAGGCAGGGGGAAGGGCAGAACAAGGGCCAGTGGGCCTTCAGAGGGTTATGGGTGGGAAACTTGTGGCACCAGGGAGGCATTCTCACTGGGAAATGTTTTTTACATTTTTCTTTTTTTTTTTGGTGCTATGGATTGAACCCAGGGGTTCATTACTACTGAGTCACATTCCCAGTTCTTATTTTTTGCTTTTAGACAGAGTTTCACTGAGTTTCTTAGGTCCCTGATACGTTGCTGAGGGTAGCCTTGAACTTGTAATTCTCTTGCCTCAGCCTCCCCCAGCCACTAACATTACAGCTGTGCATCATCTCTGGCCTCTGACATGTAAGTTGAATGTACTGGGTTAATAGATGTCTGGGTTCTTTTGTGTAGCTATATGAAAATACCTGAGACTAGGTAATTTATAACAACAGAAGTTAGTTTTCTCACAGTTCTGGAGGTTGGAGTGTCCAAGTTCAAGGTGTTGGCAGAGCTGGTATCTGTTGAGCATTGGTCTCTCCCTCTGAGAGGGTGCCTGTTGCTGTGTTCTCCATGGGGATGTGAACACTGTCCTCCCATGGCAGAGGGGTGGCAGGGCACAGGGAAGGGGCCTACACTGCTTTCTTAATTCCCTTATGGATTAGGGTGCTGATCCATTCATGAGGCTCCACATCCCAGAAGTCCCACTTTTAATACCACCTTGGGGCACTAAATTTCAAAACATGAATTTTAGATGAAGTTCACACCACAGATTGGGGAAAAAGGTTAAATGGGAGGGACATCATGAGGTCATAGTTAAACCACCCCCATGATAAGCACAAACACTCAGAAACAGACAATGGCCAAATGGAAGTCCATTATAGGCCAGCCTCAGGCTCTCAGTAGTCATGGAATCAATAAAGAGAAACGAAGTCAGGTTCCCATCAGCTGAAGAGTGGGCAGGTGAGATGTGGCAGGTCCTTGCAATGGAGTAGTACTGGGCAAGGACATCATGTACTGCTCCATGCTGCTACTGGAGGAACGGCATAGACATTATGCAAAGGGAAAAAAGTCCATGAAAGACTGTTGGTGTTGAGATGCCATTTACAGGAAGAGTTCCCAGCAGGCAGATCTGTAGAGACGGAGCAGGGGAGTGGCTGCCAGGGCCTACAGGCAGGAGGGTGAATGGGGAGTGACAGGTAAAGGGAAGGGGTGCCTGTGGTTCCTGCTGCTGTTTGTAGTAGGAGAAAAAGTTGAATTGAAGGAAGGACTGGTTTCTTTATAGGAGCCAAGGGGCACACCTGTAATCCCAGAGACTCGGGAGGCTGGGGCAGGAGGATCACAGTTCAAAGACAAGCTCAGGAACTTAATGAGACCTAGTCTCAAAAAAAATTTTATTTTTTAAAAAAGCATGAGGATGTAGTTATTAAGTGCCTCTGGGTTAATCCCTGGTACCACAAGAGGGTGTGGTGGAAGCAGGTAGTCATGATCTAGAGAAATCTGTCTCCCTAGGAGGCACACTGCTGAAGTCAGGAAGTGACTTCTGGGCACCATCAGAAGCATCTGGTCTGTTAAGACCTCAGCCAGAGCTGGGTGCAGAGAATGTGCATTTGACCCCAGAACCCACCAAACCTCAGAAAGGTCACCAGATGCAGCTAGTTCCTGACTTCTGTTTTCCAGGCTTACAGTGGTACAAACTGTCCCCACACAACCACTGGTGCTTGCTTTTAGGTCAGTGTTTAGCACTGTGCATAATGTAGTCAGCACTTTGTGGGCTGGGGAGAGGCTCAGTGGTAGAGTTCACTTAGTGCTGCAGTCTGGCTGGGCACAAATCACGAGCCACTGAAGCAGGAACAAACTTTTATTTCTGAACTCTGACAGCACGCTCCACACACGCTCCCCGGGAACTCCTCCCGAATGCCACACGGCTCCTGTAGGAACCAGCAGCCAGAAATATCCTCCGGAAATTCCTCCTCCTGCACTTCCCCAACCAATGGGAACTCTCCGGGAATTCCCGGGAATCCCCACGAGAACTCCAAAGTAGCGTGAGAACTGCAAACTAGCAGCTGAGACAGATACTAATGCCTCGCCTGTCAATCAATACTATTGGCAAAATGCCAGGGGCCATTCCAACTCAGCTGTGGCTTTCAGCACCTCCCCCC